TCCAAATATTTTTTTTTCCAAAAATACAGGACAAACTTTTTTCATCCACGTTCATATTGATCCTCAGCAACTTGCAAAACATGCAAAAGGTATCACAGGTTATACCAACTGTTCAATAATTAAACGTTTCATGATTCATAGAAATATTTGGAACATTACTCGTATTTCTTTAGTGATAGTGCTCTAGCTCGAAAAGAAAACCGTTACGGACCTATATTCATATGAACATTTAGTCTTCAAATTGACCAAGGATTCGATGGTTAATGTTTGTCTACATACCTTATTAACACCCTGTAGCGTTCTCATGGTATTTATCGTTTACTTTTTTGATGTTTTTTCTGATTTCATGATGATAGTTGGGAATTAACTTTCAAAACACTTAATTTTTCTTTTCATTATGTTTTAGATGCACAATCTCAGTACGTCTTGACTTTTAAATTTTAAACAAAATAATACATTATTCTATGACATTGACTTGAAATCACAAAAAAACATGAAGAAGGTACAGACGACAGACGACATACGACAGATGACATACGACATACGACATATGACATACGACACATGAGAGATGACATATGACATACGACAGATGACAGATGACATACGACAAATGATAAATGGCGACTGACAGATGATAGGTGACAGATGACTACTTTGAAACTGCATACGAGAACGTTTCTATAGTTGTATTCACTGTTCTTGGCGGTTACGTCATCAGCTGTCGGCCTTCTCCATTGATCGTATTTCCTGACATGCTACAATTTTATATTGAAGATTGATAACAGGACAGCTCGCCGATGTCAAGTAAGTTGTCACTCTGACAAATATTACTGAAGGGCATGCATACGTAACGACAAAGTTTTCGACACGGAGACACACAACTGAATAACGTATGTCTTTGAGCTTACCGAACAAACGTTCACACACAAGGGTAGGTTGCATGGGTATGTACGAGGGAGGTGGAGATATATAAAGCGATACTGGTAGTCTTACTTTCACCCGCCAAGAACGGTGTCTACAAACTATACAGGGTGTCCCGAAAAAAGTGTGCAATGGTTTCTAGAGCTTAAAATAGGAAGAAAAAAACATAGGTCGACAAACGTCCCATAAGGGCGCTACGGTCTTTTAAAGGGGCTCCCCTGAATATGGTTTTTCCTTAATATTTCCGAAACGTGTTGAGATAAGACATAAAATTTGGTATTCTAGCCTAGTTTTTTATGCTGCATTTAAAAATATTAACAATTTTAGACAGTTTTGTTTGGAAGCGTATGTAACAGGACGAACTCAGGTTAATTATTACATAAATACATATACCGCTGGTAGAATATTGCACACTTTTTCCGGGACACCCTGTATAGCCAGGGTTGGTGGGTACCTAGCTTAACAGTTACAACGCCTCCGCTGTAGGCAGCTTTGCTTTAACAATAGGTTATTCTGTATCCTGTACTGTAGTAAGGGCAATCAGCCGATCACAGCACTTAGACCTCATCAGTTCCTTTGTGCGTCCTCCCTAGAGATTCGCCGGGGACCGGCGTTTGGACGACAATGGCAAGTGTATTACAAAATATTGACGGTCGGCAGCTCTGTGTATTGGCCATCTTATTGTCGAGATTGAACGGACTCCTCGTTTCTACATGGTACGCCCTTCAAATACAAAAAATAACGTCGACGCACGTCTTGTCTCCGAAAAGGTCAGTGGCGTAGAAAGTATTTCTTATAAAGGTACAGGTACCCCAGTTTCTACGTCTCTGGTTAAGATTCCCTATGGCAACGCGTCTTCAAAGATCAAGTAACTTCAATTTGCGTGAGGGAGGGTAAAAATCCCCCCATATTGATGAAAAGATTATTTTGTTTGGATTAGTTTATTATACTAAATGGCATAGAAAAATGCAACACGGACTAGGAGTGAGACAGTGAGAATTTTAACTAGAAAGAGATTGAGATTTTAACTCGAAATCTCGCAAAATAGATATCTAAAAGATTATTGTGTTTGGATTAGGCCGGAAAACCTGTGTGTTCATGCTTATGATGTGCTCACTGAACAATATCTTCATCCTCTGCGTAGGTTTAATTTTTCCTCAATTTCATAAATAAAAACTTCATCATCCTGTTGTCGGTAGGGAAACATCGTTGGACTCTTTTTTGTAATTTTTTGATTTACCTTCTACCCTAGAAATATTGGCACGTCTTTGTATATATTAAACACTTTTAATGTGCAGACCTGCAACAGGTCTATAGAAAAAGGAAACACCATAAATTTCACCGTAAACATCCACTATTTGTTCAATATTCCAAGGCACAAATGTAATTCCTTATCAAATAAGAGAATTTTATTTCCATTAACGAAATAGTCATAACACGTAAAACTTTCCTGTACGAAATAAACTTCGAGTCAAACCGTCGCATTTCCTTTATTAAATAATAATATCCCGAGTGCACGCGACCTTGATGAAAATTGGACTTGTACCTGAAGAGGCTTTTACGCGAGCGAGCATGTATGTTGGTACTTAGAATTTAATTTATTACGTCGCCGGGCTTAAAACACCAACTGCAACAACAGAACTGAAATATTTAACACTTGCCTTACAACGGTAAATATTTCAAGGTATCATTGCTAAGTGGTAACTATACTAAGTGACATATAAATCCGAACACCCGGTTTTAAACGGTTTTATTTTAATAAAATTTTATATAAGTACTTAATGAAGCATAATAAGTAAATGATAAAAATTTCAAAATGATTGCACTGCTTTAAAGCCCTTTGACCTTTAATAATGTGTGGATGCACCCTGATGTGCTACGCATTCTCCAACGCGCCTAGGCATGCTTCTGATCAGGTGGTCAATGTCCTCCTGTGGTATCTCATTCCAGGCAACCACCAACTCCTCTCGAAGTGCTTCTAGAGTCTGAGGAGGACGTTGCAAATTGAGCAATCTCATACCCATCATATCCCACACGTGCTCAATTGGGGATAAGTCGGGAGATCATGGTAACAATGTGACATCATTATGTTGAAAGAAGTCTATTGTGACTCTTGCAACATGTGGTCGGGCATTATCTTGTTGGAAAGTTGGATCTGCCATGGTGTCAAGAGTAAAATGTGTGGTTCTAGAACTTCGTGGATATAACGCTGCGCGTTCATGTTACCTCTGATGAAGATTAAAGGTGACCTGGAACCATAAGCTATAGCACCCCAAACCATAACTCCAACAGTGTGATGAACATATCTTTCAACAAAAAACTGTGGATTCCTCCTTTCACCACGTCGCCTTCTAACCCTGGCACGACCATCTTGCATCCCTAAACAAAATCGAGACTCGTCACTTAAGACAATACTGTTCCATTCCTGATCCCAGAGTGACCGTTGTCTGCACCACTCAAGGCGATTACGTCGGTGTTCTCGAGTTAAAGGGAGGACCCAGTGTGGCCGGTATGAAAACAAGCCAAAACTTCTCATTCGTCGGTAAACACTTCGCATGCCAATAGGTCTTCCGTGTTCTGCAAACCATTCATTTGCAATGGACCTGGTAGTGGAGAAACGGTCCCTTAAGGCCAATAATCTTAGGCGGCGATCTTTACGGTCTGTTGTTCTACGGCGGCGTCCAGTGCCACTTGCTCTTTGCGTACGGCCTTCTCGAAGCCATGCCTGACAACACCTAACCACAGTGTCTACACTTCTTTGCACTCTAACTGCAATTGCCCGAAAAGAAAGTCCAGCTTCCCGAAGTCCCACCATACGGCCCCTATCAAACTCACTAAGTTGATGAAATCGTACAGGTCTCCGTACTCTAGGCATCGTAACCGATCGTAAAGGATGTCAAGAACCAAAATCCGCCAACGTTGATTCTTTACTGCGGCTGAAATATTCATTTTTAGAGCGTTAGTGAATTAAAAAAAAGCAGTATAAAAACCGGAATGTCCAATTGAAAGGGCTGATAATTTTTTCACTTGTTATTTACAGTAAGATAAATACATTCACCAACTTTTATTAAAATAAAACCTATTAAACTGGGTGTTCGGATTTATATGTCACTTAGTATATATGGACATGCAAAACAACAACTAGACAGGAAGAAAACCTCTGATAGAGGATAGGTTTCTCTGATTTCGTTGTTGGACACTATCAACCTTTAGACAAAGACAAATTAGAATCGTATCACAGCTTTTGATGTGTGTGGCATGTTCGACAAACTCCTGGAGTTCCGGATCCTCCAAAGTCACCCAAAGGCACCCTCGAGAGACCCCACCTACCTAAACATTTAGCAAGTGCACCCTTGTGGCAAAGTGTCCCTATGCATGAACGCGGCCACGCCGGAAAACTCCGAGCCCAAGGTCGACGGCTCGAAACCGAGGCGACCGACAAACGGACGGTTGTTTGGTACCAGACAGCTGGAAAATTAGTAGAAATGTTTCAGCAATGTTCCGGCCCTTTGTACATCGGCTATTCATGCGGTCCGCGGATCATATGGAACGTTACGCTTGCACTCACGCCTGGCTGCTGCCCTGTTCATTACACGCGAAAATTTGGGTTTTTAGGTCTCTTGCGGCGCGAAAAAACACGTAGGTCACACAGTCAACTTATGAAAACGCGTCTTCGAAGTAATGGATCTAATGAAAATGGTCGATTTTTTGTAAAATGTCTCTCAAACTAGAGCATGATTTTTGTAATATGGGCCACTAGTTCCCACAGTAAACCAAGAATACATCATAAAAATTTATTTTTCCATTTGCGTCCGAAAATTAGCGGCCATGATCATATCGGAAGATGGACACAAATACGAGCGATGTATTTTAAGTTTTGCATATGGAAATAAAACAACACGGTAGGTAGTTTTAAATGACTTTATTGTTTTAGGTCTTGAAATTAGCCAAACATTATCAAATTGATGGGAGGTACAGAGTCAGCATACGCCGACGCCATATTTTAACTTCGCTATGTATGATTTTACAAGGGATGGTTATCTGTAAAATACGCAATCAATAATTTACGAACTTACCTCATTTTTAAAACCTTTAGCGTACGGGAAAATGCTGGGACTTCGGAGTTTATGAAATACAGTGGCACCGTGTCTAGTTTGTATTCAATGCGGGCTGACTCTAGTATAAAATCAATTTTTATTACCTACAAAGCGTACTTACTCTGCTGCTTGCTAGGCAAGTTATTACGCCTTCTCAGAATTACCCTATCGGTGGGTACCAAACTATCCTCTTTCCACCTTTTCACGATTTCGGGTATCTCTTTAACCACTCCACCATATTATGGTACATTTTTTCCACAGAGGAAAGCTTTCTCTCTCAGACAGAAAAACGCGATTGTATTTCCTTTTCTGACCTCCCGACAACATCTGTAGCCGACAAACACCATAGTAGAAGACGTTCCAAAGTAACGGCCCTAAGACGGAGCCCTGCGGCACTCCCATGGTTACCTTCATCGTCTTTTTCCCTGGCATAAGTGCCGTTCTTTTCCTCGACGTACTTTTTTAGTCTACCTTCTATCAGTCGTGCTAGTAGCTTTCCAAGTGAGCTCAGCATACATAGAGGTATATATGGGTACCATACCATCCTTCTTCCACCTTTTCGCAAAGACCGGGATTCTCAAGCATACATTTATTACAGACATCACGATTTCGGGTATCTCTTTAACCAGCGCTTTAACGATCTCATTTGGTAGTTCGTCTAGCCCTGGTACCTTATCTGTTTTCAAGTGCATTGCAGCTTCTTCCAGCTCACTCATTGTGAACTCTGGTACGTCCTGACTTTCCTCAAAATTCCATTCAGCGACAATCGGAAACAGTCCCGTTGCAATTTTTATTTGCTGCTCAGTATCCAGGTACTTCCAGGTAACTTCCTCCAGGTACCAGCACGTAGATTGACAGAGTCTTGGAAGGTATATAAACTAAACCTAATTCGACCCGGCTGCATACTTGGTTTTTGCTTTATTCAGCTATATTTCACATGTCAATCGTGATAGCGACCAATATCTCCGAGTCGCAAAGGCTGAAGAGTAATTCTGAAAGTGGTATCCGACAGTTTCGATATTCAATCCCTAGATAATCCTCTATTTGCTGATGAAGCAGGCGAAACCTCAACGTGTTCATTTTACATACACGATATGTACATATACGTATATTACACATTAAACCTCAGTATGGTCATAGATGAGGTACAAGCACTTCCGCCAAATTTGATACATTATGCAACTCTGCCATTATGCGCAAATCAGTGGAGGGCGAGACGTATTTTGCACACAGATGCCATGTGGCACGACAATGTTGGAATGACTACACAATGTATACTAAGTGACATATAAATCCGAACACCCAGTTTAAATGGTTTTATTTTAATAAAATTTTGTATAAGTACTTAATGAAGCATAATAAGTAAATGATGTGGATGCACCCTGATGTGCTACGCATTCTCCAACGCGCCTAGGCATGCTTCTGATCAGGTGGTCAATGTCCTCCTGTGGTATCTCATTCCAGGCAACCACCAACTCCTCTCGAAGTGCTTCTAGAGTCTGAGGAGGACGTTGCAAATTGAGCAATCTCCTACCCATCATATCCCACACGTTCTCAATTGGGGATAAGTCGGGAGATCTTGGTGGCCATGGTAACAATGTGACATCATTATGTTGAAAGAATGCTATTGTGACTCTTGCAACATGTGGTCGGGCATTATCTTGTTGGAAAGTTGGATCTGTCAGGGTGTCAAGATAGGGTAAAAGATGGGGTTCTAGAACTTCGTGGATATAACGCTGCGCGTTCATGTTACCTCTGATGAAGATTAAAGGTGACCTGGAACCATAAGCTATAGCACCCCAAACCATAACTCCAACAGTGTGATGAACATGTCTTTTAACAAAAAACTGTGGATTCCTCCTTTCACCACGTCGCCTTCTAATCCTGGCACGTCCATCGTGCATGCAAAGAAAATCGAGACTCGTCACTAAAGACAATACTGTTCCATTCCTGATCCCAGAGTGACCGTTGTCTGCACCACTCAAGGCGATTACGTCGGTGTTCTCGAGTTAAAGGGAGGACCCAGTATTCGTCGGTAAACACTTCGCATGCCAATAGGTCTTCCGTGTTCTGCAAACCATTCATTTGCAATGGACCTGGTAGTGGAGAAACGGTCCCTTAAGGCCAATAATCTTAGGCGGCGATCTTCACGGTCTGTTGTTCTACGGCGGCGTCCAGTGCCCCTTGCTATTTGCGTACGGCCTTCTCGAAGCCATGCCTGACAACACCTAACCACAGTGTCTACACTTCTTTGCACTCTAACTGCAATTGCCCGGAAAGAAAGTCCAGCTTCCCGAAGTCCCACTATACGGCCCCTATCAAACTCACTAAGTTGACGAAATCGTTCAGGTCTCCGTACTCTAGGCATCGTAACCGATCGTAAAGGATGTCAAGAACCAAAATCCGCCAACGTTGATTCTTTACTGCGGCTGAAATATTCATTTTTAGAGCGTTAGTGAATTAAAAAAAAGCAGTATAAAAACCGGAATGTCCAACTGATAAGGCTGAACATTTTTCATTAAGTACTTATACAAAATTTTATTAAAATAAAACCATTTAAACTGGGTGTTCGGATTTAAATGTCACTTAGTATATAAATCAAAAAAAAACCTCTAACACATTTATTTAGATATTGATAAAAAAGAACGGAAAGCTTATTAATGATGTTACCGATTGGAAATATAAATCAAACAAATACAATATGGTTGGAAATGTTATAATGTAAAACTGACTTTTCAAAAGATATGTTAATATATCTGTACCTCAAAGCCATACTAGGTTAAATCCAAATAAGTAGTTTGAGATTATTGCGATTGAAATATTCATCTTGTATTGTATACAACTTAATTTTTAAATTCGTAACTTCCTTATTATTACAGGTAAGTTGACGCTACAAGTAGCAAATAAAAAATCAAAATATTACCACAAACTTAGCATACCTGTATAACATTAATTTTAGGCATGGACTTAACTTAGTCTGGCTCTCAGATATAAAATCAATTTACATGTCTAGGAAAAGTAGCTTCTATGAACAAATTGTATTAGAAACGTAATAGAAATATACCGTCATTCAAATAAGTAATCATTTTCTGCATTTCTTGGGCAAACAATATTGTAATGAATTATGAATATAGAATGTCGATATGAGCAACATCAATACCCACGACGCACTGTTTTACTAGATGATTATAACAAAAAAAACGTTATTATTATACACAAGTCGTGACCAAAAATGAAACATTATAGACAGAACCGCATCCTAGCTAACATTTTTTCTCTTTAAAAGTAAACATTTGTTTAGTATCTTCAAAACCATCAACTGGAAAGCAGCAAAATTTGGTATGTGCATTTACCTAAGTATTGTCCACATTCAAAAGTTTTGCTCAAAATTAACGTGCCCCAGTGGCGGAGATACAGTCATGAAGACCCGAGACAATTACTGTCAAAATAAAATAGGAGGCTTTGATACCAACTTGACGTTCCTTGGAAGATAGTTGGTCAACGGTATATGTTATACGGTTGTTATCGTTACTACTATCGTTTTTTGTAAAATTCAAGTCAAAAGTTTCTTTCAGCAATGATGGGTGCGCCGATATTATTTTTGGTATGGGTTCTGTAAAGGAAATGCTTTAGCGGCTTTTCGGTAGTATCAACGTAGATAACATGCCCTACATAATCCTTGCATCTCAAGAACGTTATTGAGCTACCACAGGTAGTGGGATCGTACTCGATGGTACCTGAATCCACGTTTAGTCCGATTCCGTCGCTACTACAGTGTATTCAGATAAGAGATAGACCGGATGTAAACAAAAGGTTCGGGTGATTTTCACGCTAACGCCGCCGTCTCGACGTAAAACAGGAGCCGTCATTGGTCAATTCGCAATTAAATGCCTATGCCGAGCGGCAGAGCAGTCGTATCAAGGCAGAGTCACATTCAGGTTCAGACGTGTTACGTATGTCGTGTGCATCATTGCAATTTGATATTTCTTTGGACGTTTTCGTTTGTTATCTTATTAAGTTGTTGAGTTTGTCGTTGTTATTGTTATACCTTGTTATTGATTGTTATTGTTATCAACTGCTTGCGCAAAATGCCCAGTAGTACAGATACTGCCGATGAAGTTGTAAACTCCTGTAGTCCACCTAGGAAACGCTTTCAAACGATCAACTTTCCATTTGTTACTGAAGCATTTAAATTTCAAATGGAAAAAACGGGGTCGTAATAGTTTACTACTGGATAGAGAAGAAATTGTGCTATGGAGGAGGGATTATTTAACAAAAATTGGGAAATATAGAAATCAAAACAGGAAGATTCATTACCTTGATGAAACGTAGGTAAACGCAGGACACACTACAAGTAAAGTATAGGTTGATGATTCTGTAACTTCATCCAGGAGGGTATTTCTAGATGGACTGTCCACCGGATTAAAAAATCCAGCAGGTAAATACGAGTAATAGACAACAATCGGATGTTTTTCAAACCTTGGGAACAAGGTTCTAAACATTAATTCCAGGGGGCAGATAAAACATATTACAAGTATCAAAACTTTTATAACTTTCGATAAAATGCGTGGATGTTTTATTGTCATTTTCATTTGTTAGACCTTTTTTAAGCCATGTTTTTATGTGTTTTCGATATTTCAATAATTTTTTAATATAATCTTAAAATATGTCGAATATTATAAACTTAAAAAAAGTTACTAAGTTTTATATTGTGTACCGTTCCTAATATTTCTAATCATTTTAATTCATACTTTAAGCTTTATAAAGTTATAATTTGTTAATATTAATATTTGCGCGTATTTCAGGTTCCTGATCATTCATTTTTTAAAGGTTTATAACTTTAAATTAAATTGTGAAGCGCTGAGTAATCATACGACGTTCAATATTCTTTCTTTCAATATAACTAAATAATCCCAATTAAAGCAATCTGATACTCATGTCTCAATGTTTTTTCGCTGAATGTGATGAAAACATTTGAAAAAGA